AATTGAAATCTTTAACAAGTTGATACAGCACTAAAGGCACTCAACCATCTATGCAAGAAATTTATAAGATAGTTACCTGGCCAACTGATTGGAAGAGATCCATATGTGCGTCCATTCCAAAGAGAGGTGACCCAGTGGAATGCAGAAATCATTGAACAAGATTAGTAATGTCACATACAAGTAAATTTGCTAAAGATAATTAAAAAAACAACTGCAACAGTACATTAACAGGGAACTTCCAGAGGTTCAAGCTGCTTTCAGATGACATGGAACAAGGGTTATCACTGCTGATGTCAAATGGATCTTGGCTGAAAGTAAAGAATACCAAAAAGATGTTCGGTGGTGGTTATGTGCCACGGAGTCAGTTCTAACTCATAGCGACCCTGTACAGGGTTTCTGAGGCTGTAACTCTTTACAAGAGCATTAAGCCTCATCTTTCTCCTGCAGAAGAACCGGTAGTTTTGAACTGACGACCCTGAGGTTAGCAGCCCAATTTGTAACCACTATGCTACCAGAGCTCCTAAAAAGATGTTTGCCTGTGCTTTATTGACTAAGCAAAGGCTTTCGACTATGTGGATCATGACAAGTTATGGATAACATTGTGCAGAATGAGTATTCCCAAACATTCAATTGTGCTTGTAAGTAACCTGTACATAGACCAAGAGGCAGTTGTTTGAACAGAACAAGTGGACACTGAATAGTTTAAAATCAGAAAAGATGTGTGCCAGGGTTGTATTCTGTCACCGTATTTATTCAGTCTGTATGCTGAGCAAATAATCCAAGAAGCTGGGTTATATGAAGAACATGGCTTTAGAGTTGGAGGAAGACTCATTAACAACCTGAGATATACAGATGATACAACCTTACTTGTTGAAAGCAAAGAGGACATAATACTGATAAAGATCAAAGACCACAGACCACAGCTTTCTGTATGGATTGCACCTCAACGTAAAGAAAACAAAAATCCTCACAATTGAACCAATAAATAACATCATGATAAATGGAGAGAAGATTGAAATTGTCCAAGACTTCATTTTGCTTGAACCCACTATCAAAACTCATGGAAGCAGCAGTCAAGAAATCAAACAACATATTGCACTAGCAAATCTGCTGCACAAGACCTCTGTACAGTGTTCAAGAGCAAAATATCAGTTTGAATTGATCAGTTTGAGGACCAAGATGTGCCTCACCCAAGCCATGGTATTTTCAATAGTGTCGTATGCACGTAAAAGTTGAACAGTGAATTAAGGAAGATTGTAAAAGAACTGATGCATTTGAGTTACGGTGTTGGAGAAGAATATTGAAAGTAGCATGGACTACCAGAAGAACAAACAAATCTGTCTTGGAAGAAGTATAGCCAGAATGCTCCATTAGAAACCAGTATGTCGAGACTTCTTCTTTCATACTTTAGACATTTTATCAAGAGGGACCAGTCCCAGGAGAAGGACATCATATGACATAAAGTGAAGGATCAACAAGAAAGAGGAAGACCACCAATGAGATGAATTGGCCCAGTAGCAGCAGCAATGGGCTCAAGCGTAGCAACAATTGTGAGGATGGCACAGGACTGCGTAGGGTTTCATTCTGCTGTGACTAGGGTCACTATGAGTTTGAACTGACTAGATGGCACTTACCAACAATATAATAGTTGTTGTTAAGTGTCGTCAAGTCAATTCCGACCCATAGCGACCCTGTATAGGGTTTCTGAGGAGCAGCTGGTAAGCTTGAACCGCCAATCTTGCAGTTCAAACAGCTTTGCAGTCTGGCACATTAACCCATAGCGCCACACTTTGAGTAATGTTTTTCTCTAATACATGTGTTTATTCATTTGATTTTCATAATAATACTGTAATGACTTAAAACTACAAAAAAAAACCAAAACCTCATAGTGACCATATAGGGTATCCCAGACTATAAATCTTTACGGATCAGGAGGTCAAGACCCTGTGGGCCCAAGCGTTGTTGACCGTCCAAACCATAGGCTCTGAGGATCAGACTTTAGCCACCTAGTAGGCATAGCAAACTGTCCCTCATCTGATTATTCAGTAATGCTTGTTAGTAATCTCATACATGAGCCCTGGATATCCACAGACAAATGTAAAAACCTTCCCTAAAAGCCGAGACTGTAAATTCCAAAAAGGCAAGTTCCACCCCCCCACCCCCCCAAAAAAAGCTAAAGAGGATAGAGAGAAACACTGTTAACTGATGATATATGGAGGGGATAATAATCAATGTAATGAAACAAGCCATATGAATGGTTGAATGTGAAGCTGATGATGTGCCCTGTAAACTTTCACTCAATCCAAAATAAAAACATTTAATAATAAAAAAAAAAAATCTTTACGGAACATCTTTCTTCCATGGAGCAGCTGGTGAATTTGAAGCACAGACCCTGGGTTTAAGAGTCCAATGGCTAGCCCACAGTGCTCTTTAAGGTGGTAGTGATGGTGGTGGTGTGCTGTGGAGTCACTTCGGACTCTTAGTGACCCTGTATAGGGTTTCCAAGGCTATAAATCTTTACAGGAGCAGAAAGCCTCCTCTTTCTTCTGTGGAATGGCTGGTAATTTCCAACTGCTGCCCGACTGACCACTATGATACCAGAGTTCCTTGCTCTTTAAGGTCGGTACTGTTATTGCTCTTCATTAGAAAAAACAAACCTATTGCTGTGGAGTTGATTCTAATTCAATAGTGAACCTATAGGACAAAGTAGAGGCCTAGTGGTGCTGTGTGTTAATGCGCTGGACTGCAAGATCGGTTTGAACTGCAAGTTGGTGGTTCAAGCTCACCAGCCACTCCTCAGAAACCCTGTAGAGGGTTGCTATGAGTCAGAACCGACTCGACGGCACTTCGCAACAACATAGGACAGAGTAGAACTGTCCTATAGAGTTTCCAAGGCTATACAGCTCTACAGAAGCTGACTGCCACATCTTTTTTCCCACAGAGCTGCTTGTGGGTTCTAACTGCCAATCTTTTGTTGAGTAGTAGAATGTTAGCAGCAGTGCTCCTTTAGACAGATGAGGAAATTGAGATACCTAGTGGTTAAGCAATGTGCCTAAAGCCACACCGCGCTTGAGCTATGCTGCCAGAATAGGAACCCCAGCCGTCCGTCCCGTCCGTTCTAAGGCCTGTGCTCTCAACCACAGTACTGCACTGTGCACCTCTCAGAGCTTTGTGATCTTGGCCCCAAGATGTGGACACAGAAACTGTCCATCCTGTGCATCATCACCCTGCTTTCCTCTCTGTCTCCCACCACTCTCCCTAGGCTAAAGCCTCACTCGATTCCAACTATGAACCCTGCCCTCTTCCCTCTACTCAGGGATCTCCCCACTCAGCAGCCCCATCTGCAGTCTCCCCATCCCCCACCCCCAACGTCTAAAGATGCCTACATTCCTTTCTTTCCAAAGAAAACTGCTTTAAGCCTTATCTTGCCATCAACAATCTGCTATATCTCACACCTTCCCTTTACTTGAAAAAGTGCTTCACACTTGGGTCTCTGTTTCCTCACCTCCCACTCCCTCCCCTTTTCTTTTGTGTGGCCCCCCCACTCCGACTGTGCATGGCAGTCTCTCTCTCTAAGGTCACCTCAATTGCCAAATCCAATGGCCAGCAGCCTTTCATATTCCTTCTCTTGTTTCTTGAAGCTTCCCCTCCATCTTGGCTGTTCTGACTCAAGCCTGACCTGATTTTCCTCCTCCTTCTCCAAGGGCATCTTTCTCTACAGTTGAGTCCTAAAGCCAATTACTTTCTCACTCTCCTCCTTCTTTGTTTACCATCCTGGTGGTGGTGGTTGGTGGTTATGTGCTGTAGAGTCGGTTCCGACTCATAGAGACCCTGTATAGGTTTTCTGAGACAAAATCTTTACTGGAGCAGAAAGCCTCATCTTTCTCCGGCGGAATTGCTGGTAGTGTCAAATTGCCGACCGTGAGATTAGCAGCCCAACTCGTAACCACTATGCTACCAGAGCTCCTTTTACCCTCCTACGCAGCTTTAATGATCATCTCTGATGAGATCCAAGTTTCCACCCCAGACCTCTGGCAAGGACCACAATAAGCATGTGAAGAGTCTTTGCACCAGTTAGGAAAATATACCCCTACCTCCGGGCTGATTCAGGGGCATGGCTTGGCACAGTCTGGGCACCCCTTATACAAAGCACACCCTAATTTGATTGCTAGAAGACTCTTCCATATGAACCTTAGCCCAACAAGTTTCCTCTCATACCTCAAACCTATATCTGTTTTTGTGTTCTCCACGATAACAAACGGCACTATGACCCACTCAGTCCCTTAAGAAGACAGAATGGTCCTTGATTCCCTTCACTTCTCATAGTCAGATAGCAAATCAGTATCTAAGTCCTGAAAAATGTCTCCAGTCCTTTTTACTTCCCATATATGTTTGCATGCATACATGAGGATGCTAAAAAAAAAAGAGCTTTTATGAGCCCCAGTTTTCTCATCTGTAAAATGGGATAACAGTAATATCAAAGTGTTAATGTGGAAATTAACAAGCTCACCAGTCGCTCCTCAGAAACCTATACATGGTCATTGTCGGTCAGAACTGACTCGATGGCACTTAACAACCACAATCATGTGAGAATTAAATATATCAAAAGTTGGTAAGTGTACCTATTGGAGTATCTCACATACATAAAAATGTCCCTTAATGGCAATTCCTTGCCTCCTTAATAGAATTAATTCTAAGTAATGCCCCTTGTATTTGTTTAGCGCTTTGCAAAACATCATAATATTTACTAACTCAGCTCATATATGGAAAGCACTTTAAATAGTGCCCAGAATGTAACACATGCTAATGCTAGTATTATCCATTATTATTATCATCCTTATCTTCTCCACTGCTCATAGTGATCTTAGAAAATTGTTAACAAGGAGACTGAGGCTCAGAAGGAAGCAGTGACTTGCCCAAGAGATAGCCTTGGAGTCTGCACTCCAGTGTCTTATCTCAGGACTGGCTGGCCTCCCTCCTCCCCTGACCCTTACACTTACTCTTCAGCCTGGATGGAATCCACAGGAGCCACATAGTTGCTGGGAATGTAGCCAGTTTGTCCGGAGCTGAGGGACCGAGCCTCCCACCAGTCACCTTCACTGTAGGCACAGAGCAAGGAAGGTGCTCAGTGGTCCCAGGTTCTCCTGGGCCAGGCAGGGCCACACTGAGGACCTGGTAGAAATCGACCCTGCCAATCCCTCACCTTGGATCCCCAAGGAGCTGTTTTCTATTTTGCCCATAGCTATTGGTTTCTCTCTACTGAAGGGAGATATTTGGGGACATCTGAGCTTCCTGACTTCCTCCTCTGGCTCTTCAGCTGCTCTGGGGGTCAGGAATACAGTTTACTACTAACTAGGTCACTTCCCCACTGAAAAACCTCCCATGGCTTCCCATTTCCTTCTGCATAAAATCCAGACTCTCAGCAGAGCTTTAAAAGCCCTGGCCACCCTGACCCCCCCACCCCCACCCCCATCTCCAGCCTCTGCTCTCTCCTTTCTGTACCTCACACTTCATACTCACCTATATTCAGTCACTGTGGTTCCTGGAAACCATCATTTCAGTCTCTCTCTCTTTTCTCACTTCTTCCTTCAATGTCTATTCATCTTTCCCATTTGAATTTAGAAATTAGCATCTTCAAGAAACCTACTCTGACCACCCCTATCCTGGTGACCATGTTTGGTGCCTCTCTGTGACCACACTCCCTTATGCTTTCCTCATATGGTAATAGTCGTCCAGTTATTGTGATTATGGGATGGGTTTGACTCCCCCACTAGACCGGGAGCATTCTAAGAATATGGACCAGATAGGATTCCTCTCCAGGTCTTCCCCCTAGCCTAGGTCGTGCACTGAGCTGGGTGGCCTGGTCACTTACCTATTGTTCAGGATGTGAAACTTCTCGCCCTTGGTGAAGGTTAGGTCATCTTCTGTTCGGGCCTCGTAGTCATACAGGGCGATGAACAAGGTCACCCCAGTCCCTGCCATTGTCAGAGCTACTCAGCAGGATAGGGCACAGGACAGGGGGCCCCCAGCAGTCCTTTTCCCTCACCATGTGCTGTGCTCCCCTACCCCAACACTGCTGCAGAGTCCTGGTTCTTAAAGGCCTTTGGAATTGAGTGGGTTCCTGATTTGAACTTCACAGCCTGGCCCCCAAGGACTCAGGAAACACATGTCTCTCCCACCCTGGGGAATCATCACCAGGTTGTTCACTCCTTCTATTCCCCACTAGGAAGATTTCACCTAGGACAAGGCACCCTAGAGGGCAAGAGGGTTCTCTTTACCATTTGTATCTCAGATTGGAGGCCCCTGAGAACACAGCTATGTCTCCCTCCTCAGACTTCACTTTCTGAGGGCAGGGCTGGCTGTACATACTTCCTCAGGTTGCCTGTGTCTCCCACATCATACTGGAGGCGCCTAAGAACAAGACCCCAGACTCCCTCCCACAGTTTTTCCCAGGGCCCAAGCAGCTTGCCTCTAGCACCATGAAAGCACTCCTCTATCCCCTTTCAATCCAGCCTACTGGACTTACCTGAGATGCCCCTGATGGTGCCACCATCGAAAAAGGCAGGGCTGGTGGGTGGAGGGGAGAAGTTGTAGCTGGGGATCTGGGCAAAGGAGGGCGAAGACCTGGCCTGAGTTGGGTCAGGGCCATAGCGATCTGCAGCCCCATAGCCCTTGAAGTCTCTTTCCAGATCTGCATCCTCCTTGGATCCCGGCTCCACTTTCTTGCAGAACACACAGCCCATTCCAAGCACCCTGCTACATAAGGAGGGGATGCCTCACTCAGGGGCCCTGCCAAGTGAACCACCCTATCTATACACACACTGTCACATAGGAGGCCCCCTCGGATCTGCCTGAGTGTGTTTGGACCCTTCAGTGTGATATGTGCGTCCTCAGTGTTTCTGTTTCCATCCACTAGAGGCGACAGCTCTGTGGCGGTTTTCTACATTGCTATGTGGTTGGGTTTATTTATATAGTTTCACCTCGGACTGCTTCAATGTGTTGTATTTCTGTGATTCCTGCAATGTGCTTGTGCGTGTGTGTCTCTAACAACAAGGATGTGTAAGGGAGCAAGGTGGCTCTGTGGGACAAGCACTGGACTGCTAACCACAGACAGACAGTTTGAGTCCACCAGTCGCTCCATGGGAGAAAGATAAGGCTTTCTGCTTCTACAAAGATTTACAGGGTTGCTATGAGTCAGAACTGACTTGATAGCACTTAAACAGCAATTAAGGATGTGTACGTGTGCTTGTGGAAGTATGACTCTGTGTCTGTGTGCCCATGAGCATGTGTGTTCATGTCTCTGTGTGTGTCTATATGCATGTGTGTGAGTATAGATGTGTCTCTGGGTGAGTGTGTATGTGTGTGGGCGGCTCTGCGTCTGTGTGTCTATAGCTGTGTGCACAGCTCTGTGTGGGAGTGTGTATGCTGGTCTGTCTGTGTGTGGTGGGTCTGTGTGTGCAGTTGTGTATGTGTGCATGTCTCTGTGCATCTGTGTATGTCTCTCTGTTGGTGTACGTGCATGTCTGTGTGTATGTGTGTGTGTGTTTGAGAGCTGTATGCCTGCACCTGGAGATTCCCTGCAGAGGTGGATCAAGGCCATTTCCCGTCGTGGGTCCAGCCTCAGGCCTCTCAAGCTGCCTCATTCTGGCTCCCCCCATCTGTTACCTAGCAACAGGCCTGTGTAGGAGTGGGGGCTGGTGAAGAACAGTGGGATGAGGAAAGCCACCCCCACTGAGTTTCCTGACCCTGAAAGCCCTCTGCTCCCACTCTCTCTACTTACCCCTTAGGCCCCCACTCCTTGGTCAGTAGGGCTGTGGCATGATCTTTGGAAGGGGCCAGAGACCTGAGGGCAAGACAGATATGGGAGTCGAAGACCCTGCCAATGTTCCTGCAAGCCAGCCACCCAGTCCTCCCACCTCAGGAAGACAGGGGGTCTGGGCTCAGCCCCAACCTGACTCCCACTTTCATTTTTCCTTCCCACCACCCCTAGTACATTTACGTATTCACCCTCATGTAGGACAAACCACCCACATCTACCCTTTCACACTCATGTCCACCAGGCACCTCAACACAATCACATCCACCAGCACCCATTCACACAGCAACATTCACAGTGAACATATCACCACACACCAGCATAAACTAACTCTCCCACCAGCCCAGGCTCAGATGCACAGTAGCACACACATATATATCCATGTGCACACAGGCGCCTTTCGGGCACACTCAGAAGCTCATATATCGCTCTAATTGGATTTCTAGTAAACCATGCTCAGCTCACTCAGAGGCCCCCAGTCACTGTCTCCTAAAAACAAGCCCTTCCCTGGTCACTGCCTCTGCTCCCAGCCCAGACTGGGTAAACCCCTGCAGAGCTAAGGTAACATTTAGGGAAGATCCAGGCCAGGAGCAGGGGGTCCCTGGGGTCCCTGGGGGAACCTCCCAAATGAGCTAAGCCTTTCCTGGCAGCTGTTTCCTTTGAGCGACAGTGTGGACAGGTCATTGAGCAAGAGTCTTCTACCCTCCTTCAGAAACTGCCATTACAACACTCAGAGAGGAACTGGCTGTGGAGAGGGCTTGGTTTCCTCAGATGTGAGAGGAATGGAGAGTTAGTTGCAGGGTGGGGCTGACCCAGTGAACCTTGATTTCCCCCAGAAGGGCCCACGGGCCCTGGAGACAAGGGCCTCTCTGCCTTGTCTCTTTGCTTCCTTATGGAGTCTTCCTCTTTTCTCTGAGTCCTGTTCCTTTTGTCCAGCATCACTCACCTCTTTCAGGAAGCCGTCCTGTATCCACCAGGTCCAGCTGTTTGGTCAATGGATCTAACCCCTGCCGTAACCCCACTAAGCACTAAACCCTCTCACCCTTCAGTGTAACTATTCTTCAGTGTGTGTTTGGTGGGGGGATGGGGGTGGGGGTGGAAACATCACCCATGTGGTGAACTGTGAGGCGGGCTGTGGTGAGAGACCTGCCCTAAAATAGCCCCTGTTTACCAGGCCTTGCTAAAATCTTCACCCCAGGATCCTTCCCCTCAGAGTGAAACCACTGTAAGTCCCCAGGATACTGGTGGGAAGAGGATAGGGAAGGGATTGCCTATGGGCCTGCTGAAGGGAAATCAGGCAGGGGCTGGGGTTAAGAACACAAGAGTTCCAGGATGAGAATGTTGTTGTTGTTGTGAAGTACCATCGAGTTGGTTGCAACTCATAGCGACCCTGTATAGGGTTTCCAAGGAGCAGCTGGTGAGCTTGAACCGCCGACCTTGCAGTTCAAACGGCTTTGCAGTCTGGCGCATTAACCCACAGCACCATACCAGGACTCCAGGGTGAGAATGTTGTTGTTGTTAAGTGCCATCGAGTCAGTTCCGACCCATAGCGACCCTGTGTAGGGTTTCCAAGGAGCAGCTGGTGAGCTTGAACTGCCGACCTTGCAGTTCAAACGGCTTTGCAGTCTGGCGCATTAACCCACAGCACCACACCAGGACTCCATAGAGGTCTCCAAATGGCATACACAGCCTACATCCAGATCCACACAACCCTTCCAACACATTAATGAACACATTACCTCAGCTACACACAGCAATTCATGTACAGAGTTTGAGCAACCCTGTACAGACTCACAGACATACATCTTCAAGTATACCCGACCATAGACATACCTCGACACACACACATCCATCTACACAGACACAGTCTTTCCACATAAATAGCATATACGCAATTTATAGCACTTACTATGTGCGAGGCATTATATTTTATATATTTAGTCGTTGGTAAGTGCCATTGAGTCATTTTGGTTCCTACTCACAACAACCCTGTAAACTGGTTTGGCTGCAAATCTTTTATGGGAGCAGAAAGCCTCATCTTTCTCCCACAGAGTGGCTGGTGGGCTCAAACCACCGACCTTATGGTTCACTGTCCATATGTTGTTGCTGTTGTTAAGTACCATGGAGTCGATTCCTACTCAAAGTGACCCTGCGTGGTCACTTTACGGGAGCAGAAAGCCTCATCTTTCTAACACAGAATGGCTGGTAGTTTCAAACTGCCAACCTTATGGTTCACAGCCCGAGTCGTAACCACTACACTACATATAGTACCCATTTTATTCTCACAACAAGCCTATGGGATAAGTATTATTATTCTTAATGAAGAGAGGAGAAACAGAGAAGTTTCCAAGGCTCCTGGTGTCACCTGTCCCCTACCATGAAGTCTAGCACAAATGAAACCACAGAATTTGAAGTGTCATTGTAACTGAGTAATAATACAAAGCATAGTATTGACCAAAACATATTATTGTTATTGCTAAGTGATGGATTTGAGCCTTGTGCTTGACCTTGTGGTTAGCAGTCCAGTGCTTATCCAACAGCTCCACACCAGGAATCCCGAAACATATTGTTGTTATTGTTAAGTGACGTCAAGCTGGTTCCGACCATAGCAACCCTGTATGGGGTTTCCGAGAAGTGTCTGGTGGGTTTGAACTGCTGACCTAGTGGTTCACAGTCCAGTGCTGATCCTACAGCGCCATACCAGGAGTCCAAGCATAGCAGAAGGTTCAAAAAGTAAATTAGCATAGAGATTCAGCTGGGTAGGTATACTGATACATATAAACTGAGCTTACAAAAAATGTTTTTGTTGTTATAACTAACTACAAGACTTTTTAAATAAAAAGTAATACATTTCTGCTTAACTACTGTACAAAAATTTTAGCAGTTATTTTGGCATCATTCCCTCCGACAGTGTCACCTAGTGCAGCCCATACCCCCTGCACCTCCCTAGAACACTACTGTCTCATTGTCACAAGTATGCATTGTTACAATGCTGCAACATCAGTTCAGGAGAGCCCCGAATTCTGCATGCCTGGAGTTGAGGGCAGAGGTGGGGGACTCAGAGGCTGACAGCTTCCAAAAAGGAGGCAAAGAGCTCTGGAGGCTGAGGAAGAGCCCTGTCAGGGCAGACAGCAGGAGCCAGTCAGGAGCCCTGGTCAGCACTCAG